TGCTCCTGCATCCAACTGTTCATGGATACAAGAATTGATGTGATAAAATATTATGTAGTCACATTAACAATATGATTTAGAAATAGTCCATTTAGAATACATCAAGCACATTCACGCTCTATAACGAACAACTTAGCTGGAAATATTCCCCACACACTCCTCGTTGCTTTACAAATTTATTTCCTGCTGGTGCTTTATCTCTTGCCCCAAAACCTGAGGTTTTGCCCTCGTCTTCTACCATGAACTAATGCCAGCAATCTTTATTTTTCTACTTAAGTTAACTTTGCAACTATCCTGTGGACTCCCATCAAATCGCAAATCAATCATCTTTTTTCCATTGACAAGAAAATCCAGCTCCAAGCTAAGATTATAGCTAAATTTCCTCAGCCCAGGGATTATACAATGAATCTCGTTTCCACCACTTTAGGAGTCTTTCCCCCTCCAAAAGTGTGAGGAGCAGACTGGATACAACTCCTTTGTTGTGACCTAACCGTAATTTTTCTAAAGCTTCTGCATAACTTTCCTGTTTTGACCTCGATATTTCTATTTCTAAAACCTAATATTCCACCTGTCCGTCTGGAGATGGGCAGCATGTACTGGCCTTGCCATCGACATCCACATCCTATGCAATAATTAGGTATATGTTTCTTCTCCCTAACTGTCGTGCAAATAAAATGCGCAACCTCACACTGCTCTATTTTGAATTCCATCTACCTTGTGTGTCAATTCTGCTAGCTTACATATGTTCTATTGCAATCAATTGGTATCAACGTCAGTGTTTGACACACCCTTAATTTTGTATTATCTACACATTTGAAACTTTACCATGTAATCTAATGAACGAGTCACCTCCATGTATCAAACTGTCCCAGCACTGATATTTCGGGTCAATATTTCTAGAATCTGCCAGGCTGAAAAAAAATACAACTTGCCATTTTGTGCCCTGAAAACATTTTTATAATCAAACCTAACACTAGCCCACCTATAAAATGAACATCAATTTTGTAATCTGGCCGTTTATGAGATAGTTTGTTAAAGGCCATTTTTACATTTGTACAAACAACATTCACTGCATTCGCATATGTACCATATGAGAGCCGTTGTGCTCAATTTTGGTCTCCTAGCCTGAGGAAGGACATTCATTTATTGAGGGAGTCCAGGGAAGGTTCACCACACTGATTCCCTGGATGGCAGGCGTGACATTCGATGAAAGACTGGATCGACTGGGTTTGTATTCGCTGAAATTTAGAAGAATGGGGTTGAGGAAGAATTTCTTGACTCAGAGAGTTGTGGACTTCTGGAATTCTCTCTTACAGAAAGCTGTTTGGGCCAGTCCATTAGATATTTTCAAGAGGGGGCTGGACGTGGCCCTTGCACCTAAAGGGATCAAGGGGTATAGGGAGAGAGCGGGAATGGGATAGTGAGATTGCATGATCAACCCTGATTGTATTGAATGGTGATGCAAGTTCGAAGGGCCGAATGACCTACTCCTGCATCTTTTTTGTGTGTTTCTATAGAAGATAGTTTATCAGAAAATGCAATTTTAAACATCCATGCTACTCGCTTGAATAAACTCAAATCTGCCCAGTTACCAAATATTTCAGTTCACGATTATTATTTCTGAAGCTTTGCCCACTACGGAAATTAAACTAGCCGACCGAGATATATCAGAATTCCCTCACTCACGTTCCTGAACGCGGGTATCACACGTGCCACTTTTCAATCTACTCGCACATCCGCTATCCATTCATTCATGTGTGAACTGCCTGAAGGCAGAACTGTGACACATTGCCTGAATATCGTGAGCCGTTTCCGTCGGGAGTGGTTTCTCATTGCCTTCTACGTGCAGGAAAAAGACACGAACAAAGTTCACTTTGGCTGGAGAGAGAATCCAACCTGCGCTATTAATATTGGTATGAATGACACGCTCGCCAGCTCACCGCTGCATCTTGGGAAAGATGGATCAGTAGATAGATAGATACATACGTAAAGACAGAATATTCTTGTTCTACTTTGGGATGTGAGGGAAATGTCAAAATGCTCCGGCACTGTTTTGCGAAATTTTGGTGAATTGTCATTAGATAATGCTGGTTTATTATCAATGAGAAAATCTAAAGGTTTTGTATGATTTTAGACCATTATATCTTAAGACCATAAGACAGAGGAGCTGAAGTTAGGCCATTCAGCCCATCGAGTCTGCTCCGTCATTCAATAATTTTTGATAAGTTTCTCAACCCTATTCTCCTGTTTTCTACCCGTAACCCTTGATCCCCTTGATAATCAAGAACCTATCTATCTCTGTCTTAAATAAACTCAATGGCCTGGCCTCCACAACCTTCTGTGGCAGTGAATTCCATAGATTCACCACTCTCTGGCTAAAGAAGTTTCTCCTTGTGTCTGTTCTAAAAGGTCTTCCCTTTACTTTAAGGCTGTGCCTTCGGGTCCTAGTCTCTCCTACCAATGGAAACATCTTCCCAACATCCACTCTGTCCAGCCCATTCAGTATTCTGTAAGTTTCAAGTAGGTACTCACTCATCCTTCTAAACTCCATCGAATATAGAACCAGAATCCTCAAATGTTCCTCATATGTTAATTTTTTCATTCCTGGGACCATTCTCGTGAACCTCGTCTGAACCTACTCCAGGGCCAGTACATCTTTCCTGTGACATAAGGCCCAAAACTGCGCACAATACTCCAAATGCGGCATGGCTGGAGCCTTATAGAGCCTCAGAAGTACATCACTGATTTTATATTCAAATCCTGTCAAAATAAATGCCAAATTTGCATTTCCCTTCTTAACTACTGACTCAATCTGCAAGTTTATCTCGAGAGAATCCTGGACTAGAACTCATAAGTCTCTTTGCACCTCAGACTTCTGAATTTTCTCCTCATTTAGAAAATAGTCCAAAACTGTATTCTTCTTACCAAAGTGCATGACCTCACACTTTCCCACGTTGTACTCTATATGCCACTTCTTTGCCCACTCTCCTAACCTGTCCAAATCCTTGTGCAGCTTCTCTGCATCCTCAATACTACCTGTTCATCTACCTATCTTTGTATCGTCTGCAAACTTAGCCAGAATTCCCTCAGTTCCTTGATCTAGATCATTAATGTACAAAGTGAAAAGTTGTGGTCCCAACACTGACCCTTGTGGAACACCACTTGTCACCAGCTGCCATCCTGAGAAAGACCCTTTTAACCCCACCCTCTGCTTTCTGCCAGACAGCCAATCTTCTATCCATGCTAGTACCTTGCCTCTAACACCATGGGCCCTTATCTTACTCAGCAGCCTCCTGTGCAGCATGTTGTCAAAGGCCTTCTTGAAGTCCAGGTAGATAACATCTATTGGCTCTCCTTGGTCTAACCTGCTTGTTATTTCCTCAAAGAATTCTAAGAGATTTGTCAGAAATGACCTCCTCTTGATGAAGCCATGCTGACGTTACCCTATTTTACCATTCACTTCCAAGTATTCAGAAATCTCATCCTTCGCAATGGACTCTAAAATCTTACCCACGACCGAGGTTAGGCTAATAGGCCTGTAATTTTCAGGCTTTTTCCTTACTCCCTTTTAAAACAGAGGTGTCACATTAGCGATTTTCCAGGCCTCTGGGACCCTCCCTGACTCTAGTGATTCCTGAAAGATCATCACTAACGGCTCCACTATCTCTTCAGCTATCTCTGCAAGAACTCTGCGGTGTAGTCTATCTGGTCCATAATTTATCCACCTTTAGGCCATTCCATTTTCCTAATACCTTCTCCTTGGTGATGGACACCATACTCAGCTCTGGCCCCTGATTCTCTAGAATTTTTGGGATATTACTCGTAAATTCTACTGTGAAAACTGATGCAAAGTCATTACTCAGTTCCTCAGCCATTTCCTTGTTCCCCACTACCATGTCTCCAGCGTCATTTTCCAGCGGTCCAATGTCCACTTTTGCCTCTCTTTTGCCCTTTATATACCTAAAGAAACTCTTAAAGTCCTCCTTGATATTACTGGCTAGCTTACCCTCACATTTAATCTTCTCCCTCTTTATTTATTTTCTTGTTGTCCTCTGTTGGTCTTTGTAATCTTCCCAATCCATGGTTTCCCACTGCCCTTCGCCACATTATATGCTTTCACTCTTGTTTTAGTGTGATCCCCGACATCCCTAGTCAGCTATGGTTACCTCATCGTCCCAGTACCATGCTTCTTTTTCCTAGGAATGAGTTTAGAGGAGGTGCTATTCTTAGAATAGGAATTTTGCATATTTGTTTCAACAATTGAATGTGGTGCTGTATTTACTTTGCAGTTCATCATAGCTATGATCACCCTACATAAGAACTGGTACATTTGACGCATTCCTCATTTTCTGCACTGCCTTCAATTTTTAAATGTCACTACTTCCTGCACCTTAAATATATCTCTAAGACTAATTCATGGAACCTCTTGGTAAAGGCTCAATATCATTGTCTGAACTCTTCCCATAACAAGCAACTCATTAAGACTTCTCGAGACTTCAGCATCTTGGCAACTCACTTACTTGCCATGGCAGAATAAAACTGATTGATTCTCTGTCTTCTATCTATCTATCTATCTATCCGTACATATCATTCTAAAAGGACAGTGCTCAATCTCCTCTACCTCTCGCTATCTACAAATTCAATGTAAACTCACAATTGATCATTCAGTTCAGACTCCATGGGAACTCAAAAGCTGTTAAACAAATTTACCATCCTCAGCTTCTTCACTCTGTGGTAATTTTCACAATTCAATTATTCAAAACTCGCTCGTTTAATCTATTTATTTGTTTTGCGTTATTCCATCATTTATGCGCTGTATTGACTGTGTTGTCCTGTTTCTCTTTAAAATGGCTGACATACGCTCTATGCAAATGTAAATCGATGCAGTTTGCAGAATCCAGTTATTGGCTTGCTGTGGATACAGATTTGCATGCATGTTCAATATTCAGTAGGTTGCTGGGGCTGACACTTCTTAAGGTGAGATTTAAAAGAGTCCAGAAACACATTGTGTCAGGAATTATTTACCTCCTGATTTTCACAAGAACCTTCACCATGACTGAATGGGTTCGAGCACTCGCGGCTCTGCTGTTCTGTCTCCACAGTAAGTACGGGCATTCATTCGCACGATCGCTTCTGTTTACATTGTTCTCTTTGTGTCTTAGTTAAGCGGGGGGAACTACAAACAATATTCAAAGCTGCAAAATGTAACTTGTCAATATCTTCACTATTTCACCAGGTGCAAATGGGGATCCTGTTCTGACTCAGCCAGGTTCCATCTCAACATCCCCGGGGAATACTGTGAAGATTACCTGTACCATGTCCGGAGGCAGCATCGGTAGCTACTACACGAGCTGGTACTGGCAGAAACCCAGGAGTGCCCCGGTCTTTGTTTGGCACGAAAGCATAGGTACAGCTTCGGGAATTCCAGATCGATTTACCGGGTCCGTGGACTCGTCGAGTAACAAGATGCATTTAACTATCACAAACGTGCAATCGGAGGACGCAGCCGATTTTTATTGCGCTGTAGGAGGTAGCGGAATATCGACGTTCGGGAAAGGAACCAAGCTGAACCTGGGCAGTAAGTAAAATAATATGCACTATTACTGCGGAAGTCTCAAAAATAGTTGAAAATCATTGGTTAGGTAGATTGCACTAGATAAAATCTGGCTTATTGTTCCTAAGTATATTTACAGTGAACTAGTGAATCTGCATTATATGATATGGAAAGATGGGTCAGGCAGAAATGCGAGATAACAAGGTGTAGATCCTTCTTCTTCAGAAGAAGGGTCTAGGCCCGAAACGTCAGCCTTCCTGCTCCTCTGATGCTGCTTCGCCTGCTGTGTTCATCCAGCTCTACACCTTGTTATCTCAGATTCTCCAGCATCTGCAGTTCCTAATACCTCTCAGGCAGAAATGCGGCTATTTTGAAGTGGATGATCTGGGCTGTAAACAGGAAGTAGGTCTAATCGTTTCCCAGGTCATAACAGTATGGCTTTAGTTCGGTCCAAGTGCGGCTGTTATCGGGTAGTGGTGGTGTCCCTAATGCTAGGTTAGAAGGCTCCATTTGATTCAGAGATATCTTACAAGATAATTACATCGTTTGATTAAAAATACCTAAAACGCTTTCGGAGAAAGTCAAGGTGAAGAAACTTTACCATCACTTTCCACATTCTGATGGAATGCGGCCATTTTCAGAGATCGGGCAGCCGCCGGCCCGGGGAGATAAACTTAATTTCATTTGGAGTGGGATGGAAGGACAGGACGTGATGTTTATTTACCCAGGAAGGGTTCTCACTGCAGTGCCTTATTTCTAAGAATGGAGCGAGCAGAACCAAGGTAGTCTTTAAAAGAGAAAGAAGGGGGAGAAGCTCCTGCTTCTGAGTACTAGAATTCTTTGGCCGCTGGGTTTTTCAGACTGACAAAACCCTGGATTCCGATAGCCCCGTTCCTCTGGCTAAAACGTGCAGTTAAATACTTCATTCCATTTCGATCTTGGGAGATTGAACCCCCAATCTTGGTTAAGGATAGATAGTGGGGCAACTTGCTGCAATTCAGCCTCGCCTCCAAACCCAGTGAAAGAACCTCAATCTGATATTTCGCGTTACTGAGTCGGAAAAGCCTTTCGAACATATTGTATATTCGTTCAATTGCATTTTCCCGCTGTTTCTGTGATCAGCGTAGGAACAGTAAAAGTATATATTCGTTGTTGCTATTTCATCTTCTGTTTTCGGCAACATTACGTGAAATGCACCAAGTTGTGATAGGAAACAGAAAATATTCTGTCATATTTTCAACTGTTTCCTAAAAATAAAGGCGCCAAATTTTAAAACCGCCACGGTAAATTAGTTCGCGGCAAAACACTTACTTGGACAATTATATAAAATGAAGGCAAGCCCTGCTCCGTGTATGGGAGATTTCAGATATTCCACACATATATTGTCATAATGTTCAAATAACCTCCAGCTGTTGCAAGGAGATTATACTTTTAGCTGTTTGTGATACTTGTTAGACTACACAGAAAATCACTCACCCAATTCAACTGTCAAGTTCCCAGACGGAACTTTAACAAGGGCAGAAGTTGGTTAAACTGACAAGGGGCTGATCTGGGATGGCCAAGGCGCTCCAGAAGAGCTGGCCCCAACATCACAATGTCACGAAAAATATGAAGCAGGTCAATCTCTACTTTTAGACATGAACAAAGTAGTGACATTTTCACATTTTCTTCACTGCTTTTCATTGCGTTATCAAATGTACCGAGTGATTAGCGCTGTCAACTGAAGCGTGTAAAATTTGAGGCCGAGGCAGGGGACTCTGACAGTTCGGTGTCAACACATTCAATCGCACTGGGCGATAGTTCATGCTCACTATCGTCGGAACGTTTCTTACTTTACTATAGAAATACGGAAACGAACTTGCGCCGACTAAGACTTAAGGACATCTGAGCGCGGTGATTAAATGCGTCTTTTTTTGAGGAACTTGTTTCGCATTTAGCAAGGCTCCGCGCAGATATAGTTGGTTCCCAAACAAAGGCTATTTATAGGTAAAATCCAAAAGAGTTGCCATACTGTAAATCAGAAACAAAAGCAGAAGTTGCTGGAAAAGCTCAGCAGGTTTGGTACCATTTGTGAAGAGAAATCCGGGCAGGGCCACCGGACTCGAAAGGTTAACTCTTCACAGATTTTGCCAGACCTGCTGATCTTTTCCAGCAACTTCTGCTTTTGTGGCTATTTATAGGTGGCGGTTTTCTGTGTAGTAAGAAAGTGTGACACTGTGATCCCAATAATGTTCACAAACAGCGTATTTTGTTGACGCAAGAACAGTCTTTCGAAGGTTTGCACATTAAATTACAAGGAAGCGAGGATTGGAAACTATGTGGAAAATCTCTTGGAAGCGAGAAAAGCAGCAAAATGGGCTGTACAGAAATGCAACTTTAAACGTTTTAAATGTTGCAGCTGTTTCTTTTTTCGGTCAGCGTTAGTTTATTCCGAATTCTAGTTTGTTGCATCTTACTGTTATTTGAATAGGGTCATAGAATCATAACAGCAATAGATAATGCAGCACGGAAACAGACTCTTCGGACCAACTAGTCCATGCTGAATATAATCCCAAACTAAACTAGTCCCATCTGCCTGCTCCTGGCCCATGTGCCTCCAAACCTTTCCTAGTCATGTATCAATCCAAATGTCTTTTAAATGTTGTAGTTGTACCCACATCCACCACTTCTTCAGGAAGTTCATTCCACACGCGAACCACACTCTGTGAAAAAAGATTGCCTGTTATGTCTTTTTTAAGTCTCTCTCCTCTCACCTTAAAAATGTGCCCCGCAGTCTTGAAATACCCCGTCTCCGGGAAAAGACAACTGTCATCAACTCTATCTATGCCTCTTATTATTTTATAAACTTCTATCAGCCTGTACACTCTTTCTTTAAAACTCAAACCTTGCATATTGGCAACATCCTGGTAAATCTCTTCTGAAACCTCTCCAGTCTGATAATATCCTTCCTATAACGGGACCACCAGAACTGGACACAGTATTCCAAAAGAGGTCTCACCTCTGTTTATTAATACCTCTAGCTATTTACTGCCCTTGTATTTTATTTTGTTTCAATTTCCTCACCAGAATATTCATGCGTGCCTTGGCATTTAGAAAGTGAGAATATCATCTCATGTTAGCTATTTAGCACCGTCAGCCGCAATTGTTGCACTGTTGAACGCAATGAGGATCCGGTCCACTAAATTCCTCATGGTTTTGCAGAATGATGTGAAATTTTCAAATATTTAAAAATCCTGAAGCACTGATTCCGCCATATATATATTAATGATTGGTTCCTCTTCGACTTATTCCTATTTTTCAGACCCACGAGCGCCTTCACTTTCCCTCCTTCCACCTTCACCGGTTCAAATCACGGAAAAGAACAAGGCGACCCTGGTGTGTTTGGTGAGCGGTTTTAACCCGGGCGCTGTGGAGATTCAGTGGACGGTAGACGGAAATGTCAGAGGGAACGGAGTTGAGACCAGTCGGATCCAGCAGGAAACGGACAACACGTTCAGTGTGAGCAGTTATTTGACCCTGTCAGCCTCAGAGTGGAATTCACACGAGCTTTACTCCTGTGGGGTTAAACACGAGACTCTAACAAACCCACTTCAAAAAAGCATCACGAAATCTAGTTGTGTTTGATTCAAATATCTTATGTATTTTTTATGCTAGCGGCAAGTTTTGTGTAAAATCAAACAAGCTCGGTATAGTAGACAAGTTCAAATCATAACAGGTTACAATTTCTCTGTGCATATTTTACAGTGTGTTCACCCTGAACTGGTCAAAGAATCAACATGCACGTGCTCGCAGTATAATAAAAATGACTATTGCTTATCTCAAACGTTGTAATAATTTTCTATTCACTCACATATTCATTCCTCAATAGCTAGCTAATTATGGCGACTCCTTAATTTTAATGTTTGCAACATTCTGCACATTTTGTGATGTCATTTTCATCAGTCGGAAAAATGGGATTCCTTTCAACATATTTTCAAAGATAGAGAAAAATGGTATTTTTTTGGTGTAGCGGTAGTCTCCCTCCATCTGGTTTCAAGTTCGCCCTGCTCCAGAGGTGTGTAATAGCACCTTTGAACATCTGAAAATATCCGCTCAAAGGTAGACCTAAGGGAGGTGGTTGTGTAGCGGTCACGTCTTGGATTAGAAATACTGACTAAATGATCTAGAAATATGGATTCAAATCCTATCTTGGCAGATTGAGGAAATTTAAATTCAATCATAAAAGAATCAGTGATTCGTAAAGGTGCTTCTGGACTGCAGTAATTGAGTCAGTTCCTTTGAGCCCTCAAGCCTGGCTTCAAGTCTCACCAGCCTCTGAAAATATGGTATATGTCTGATCAGGTGGTGGAAAATCCTTACTTCCAAGATTGACGTAAGGGCTCTTGTGGTGCAGTGGCAGATCCTCCAACTCTGAATAGATAACATATCTCAAAGATAGTTTTGGATGAATCTGGTCCTTATGGAGTAGGGCGGAAACCTTTACCCTTTGTCCATGCCTCGTACTTAGAGTCAGTGCTTCTAAAGTATTGGGTTCTACAAATTTAAGTTAAATATTGCAACTGCCTATGCTCTGGAATTCAGGGGGACCATTGTCAGTGCAGTTTCTGATACTGCAAACTTCTTTCTTTCAAAATTATCTGATAACTTTAATTGATAGGTTTTGCCTATTTCGAAGCGGCAGATTTCAGTCGCAAGTCAATTGGTCATAACGACCGATTCTGTAAAAATTTAATGTGATATGGTTTAGATTAAAGTCGTGATTTTACATAAAAATAGCAGCTTCACACTCACCGTGAACCAAGTATAGAATGTTTCCCATTCACTGTCGTTGTTCAGTCTGAAACAGGACGAAACCAGATAGATTGTTGCATCTGGAAACAGCAGTTATTTTAGGTCAGAACGAATGCAACCAAAATGCTGTTTGATTTCTGGCGGGGTGAGGTGGAAACGATCTTGATTGGGAGGGATATGTTTCAGTTATAGAGCATTGTGTTTTGTCTTGAGATGAGCATACATTTCTTCCCTAGTCTTTAAAAACCTGTACTTTATGTAGCTTCGTTAATTATCATCCAAGCACAAATAGATGTATTTTCGAACGGACGAATATGGGATTCGTGCAGGAAAGTGGCGCTGAGTTACAACATCAGGACCTTATTGAATTGCGAAACATACTCGGGGGCCAAATTACAATATTGTATTCTTGGGGTCCAAATCTTGATTTCAATTACTGCCATTGAGAGCGAAGTGAAAGAAATCTCCCACTTCTACCAGCAGCTTTGCTGCGGAGCTAACCTAATCGAACCATAAAGATCATTCCCAAAATACAGATGGAGTGGAGCAAGAGAACACTGGCTAAAATGAACTCTATGTATAAATGGTAAAGCAGGCACATCAATGTGAAGCAAAAAAGAAAAAAAAATGCACGCGTATTTAAAGTGGGAATTACAACAATCGGAAGAGGGCTGCCTTTTAGGGGTGACTTACGTCAACTCCAAGAAGTTTCTACTTTCGAGAGACAAACTGACAGCAACTTCCGCATTTGCCAATATATGAGACAGAAAGTAAGACTTATTATTGCTTCATGCTGTCAAGAATAATGTAGCCTAATTTGGACTATGTTAAGAGAGAGACCCGATTTCTTAAAAATAAGATCAAAATAATAAAATGCTATGCAGCTGTCAAAGTTTAATTTCTTTTCTAACACGACAATTGCAGCCATCATGTGTTTTCCTAATCATTTTAATAATACAGCAGCACCAAAATGATGAATATATAGGAGTACACAACGATAACCTCACAATGGTCTTATGTCATTGTTGCAGTTATTTGCAGAAGTTATTCTTCTCACCGCGTCCAGAGATCCACGCTCAGTGCCATGCGTTATCATAAGCACAATCTCCAACTCTCTGTCAAGCAGCACTGCTTCGCACAATCTCAGAGCTGTCCTTCCTTTCAGTTTTACTTCATTCTCTGGCTCGTTTGACATTCCATGAAGAAAAGTTTTCTCTTTTTAGGCATTAAAGAGAGCGAATTGCAGCATCTCGAGGTGGCCAAGCCCCTCTGGAATCTTCTTCCTCTGCCATTTCCCCTGTCTCCATCTTTTCACCTCATCCCATATTTTGTGGGTTATTTACTATCTCTTCGGATATTCTGTTCCCTGATGCTGAACGTTCTGTACTCTGCAATGGACTTAGCTTTATCCCTCTGCACACTCGCATCAATGAATTTCAGGCACGATGTTACGTTGAACCCCCTTGCCTCGATCTCCATGACCATTTCACTGGACAAGTGTCCATCGCCATTCAATCATTCCTTCACCGGCCTCCAACACTCTCCCTCCACCTGGAAACCACCCTGTTGTATGTTACCTGGCTCAATCTTTTCATTGAGAGCTGTTGACATGATGTCAATCGCCTTGATTTCTCTGCACCCCCACACCACCTCCCCATCACCTCTTCGAATTTATCTCCCTCTGAATGGACTACTCTCTGTACTCTCAGATTCAACCCTGACTTTGTAAATAAGACTATGCCAAGTGCGGTGCCATTGCTGTCTGGTGTAATGACCGCTACATTTTGGAGACTGATTGCCTACTCTTGTATGTCTCCTCCTATCACCCCTGGACCATGATCCCACCATCAAGCATTAGGTTACTATAACCACAACGGTCACTAATCTCATCTTTCTGCGGGTCCCACACATAATCCCGGCCCCCCAACAGCCTCCAAGCTCACAGTTCCCAATCCCAGACAGGCCACATCTAACATCTTTCCAAAAATCGCAAACAGAACTGTCTGCGTAGTCCCATTGCTTCTGCCTTTCTCCCCGTTGGATGTATTTCTTCCTACCTTGATGTGACTTTTCTCCCCTTCTCTTGTACATTCCCATATACCTCCATTGCATCAGTTTCAAAATTTCCAGTTTGCGGGCACCAGCCACGTCCTCTTCAAAATGCTCTTGCAATCCCTGTACACATGCTTTCCCCCATCAGGAGAGTCTGACTGTTCTCTGCTTCTTCCTGGAAAGAAGGCATGAACAATTGTCATCTATCACCATTCTCCTCCACGTGGTCAAGCGCATCTTTTCTTTGAACAGCTTCTCCTTTAACTCATCTACTTTCCTTTAGATCAAAGGTGTGGCCACACCTACCCACACGGATCTTTGTGGGAAATGTGGAATATTGCTTATTTGGATCTTACTCAATTTTTTTTGAGTACATCAATGAGATCTTCAGAACTGCTTTTGTCTTTGAAAAAGAAATTACCAATTTCACTTCCAAATTTCACTCTGTTCTTGTCTTCAACTTCTCCATCTTTGATTCCTGTGCTCCATTCCTCGGTATCTCTGTTCATATTTCTGGAAATGGGTCGGTTACCACTTTCAACCCACCGAATTCATATCTGCACTACACAATCACTCCATGCTTCCTGTAATTACCCTATTCCACTCTCCCAGTTTCTCTGTCTCTACTGCTTCTATTGTGATGATGCCACGTTTTGCAAGAGTGCCTCTGTAGTTTACATTATTTCCTTCAACTGACAATTGGCTACAACCATGGCTGACAGGATAATTAGCCATGTCCATCAGATTCCACTTCTGCCTTGACCCTTTCTCTTCCTACTTACAAAACTGATAGTATCCTTCTGGTCTACACTTCCAATGGTTCCAGCACCTGCATCCAAACGATTCGAAGCTGACATTTCAGCCACGTCCAATGGGGTTCCACCGTCAGGCACATATCTCCTTTCTTTTGTCAGTACTTTGGTCAGATATTTCCTACAGGACACCGTGCTCCACTCCTCCTCCACTCTTAATAACTTCTCCCATCCCCATGGAAATATCCCATGCAACTGCAAAAGGTGAACAGTTGGGCATTTACTTCTCCCTCCTGACCGTCCAGGGCTTATGACATACCTTCCAGATGAAGCAATGGTTTACCTGCACTTCACTCATTTTAGTTTACTGTACTCACTACACGTCATGTGGTCTCCTCTACACTGGGGATATGAAACACAGAGTGGATGACTGCTTTGTGGATTGCTCCCCTCTCCCCTCATCAGCATATAATCCAACTTTTCCGAGCTGCTATGACTTCTGAAGAAGGGTCACAGGACTCGAATAAAATCATCTGCTTTCTCTCTGCAGATGCGATTGAACTGTCGAGATTTTCCTGAAATTTAAGTTATTGTTTTGAACCCTCAGCATCTGCAGTTCTTTGTTATATTACAGAAGTCATGTTGAATTAGAGGACATAGCAGAAAACACTGGCTCAGTGGTTAGCACTGCTGCCTCACAGGGCCAGGAACCCAGGTTCGATTCCACCCTCAGGTGACCATCTGTGGGGAGTTTTCACATTCTCCCCCTGTCTGCGTGGGTTTCCTTTGGGTGCTCTGGTTTCCTCAGGGTCAAGAGATGTGCAGGCTAGATGCATTGGCCATGCTAAATTGCCTGTAGATTTCAGGGATATGTAGATTAGGTGGGTTATAGGGGGATGGATCTGGGTGGGATGCTCTGAAGATCGGTGTGGACTTGTTGGGCCAAAAGGCCTGTTTCCACATTGTAGGGGTTCTATGAAATCACCATTCTATGTGTATTCCAAAGCATCTTTCAAGGATTCA